TATCCGAACCAGTAACGTCATGTAAACAATGCACGCGCCATTGAGCCAATGATTGGCGCCAGGTGATGTGCAGTCATCTTTTACAGAGATATTAGAAGACTTTTGTAATCCTCTTACTCTTTTGCTCCCGCCTCAAAATCATGCATATTCATTAATTTAAATTTGATTCTTGAATCCGGTAGTTTTCTCGATCAATGCCGTGAATAATTGATAGTTCTAATACAAGTACAATAAAGGGGTGGGGTATAGAGGATGTTATTTTAATATCTATTATAAATAATCGTATATCTAAATATATTGAATAAAATATCATTTTTTACCAATTCCAGAGCAGAGAGGATTCCGCGCGGGTCTTAAAGCCGTGGATAATGTGTACATGACTCTAATTAATAAATACAAGAAACCTCTATTCGATTTGGCGAAAAGGTCTCCTTTTTATATATAACATTAATAAAAAAATATTTGAATTGATTAAGTCTACGTAGAAAAATAAATCTTATCTGGTGACAAGATACAACTCCATATCGAATAACATCGATTCTACCAAGGGAGTAAAGCAAGGTTGTGTTTTAAATCCTGCATTTTTAAATATTTATATCAATAATCTAAACCAATACTTGGATAATACTACAGACAGCAAAAATTATCCTATATTAAATACTACGATCGGTCTATATCATCTGCTCTTTGCTGGCGACCTTGTGCTAATGTCAGCTACCGAAATGATTACAGAGCAATCTTGATAATTTAAAAATTTCTGTGATGACTGTAAACTGAACCTCAATAAAGATAAAAGAAACATCAGGATCTTTAGATAAATAAGTAAGATATTCATAAATGATAACTGATCTGTTCTATTAGCTACTATGGACTTGGAAAAGAAGGCTAGAAGAGCTTGTCCCGGTATTGTTTGCTTAAAGTAGCTAAGTCTCTACTCAGTATCATCCAAAGTCTTCGACATCGAAAACACGAATTATTTGTCAATTTAAATCAACATTGGTGTTGTTATCGTATCTTGGGAAGATGGGCTTCTGATATCCAATATTTAAGACAAAATAAACATTTTACCATTGGTACACGAATTGTGTACCATAATGCGTTTCAGTGCCATTTGTAATAACGGACTCGAAGAACGAGGCTAGACATATTCCACAAGTCATGTCAAACGGTGAAGTCATATTCTTATCTGGAGAGCATGCGCAATAAATACTATCGGCGTAGACTGTAATAACCAGACGCTAGAGATAGCCATTCGATTGGCACTTCTGCCGTATTTCGCCGAACATTAACTGATTTGAAATTAGAGTAAAAACAGAAACGATTGAATGTAAATCAGTTTATATACATTCATGTTACATTATCATATGCGTTGCGACCCATTTGTGTCAATTTCTTGGTCCCAAATAATAGCGATTTAGCTCCTTTAAACATGCATTATGCAAGAGCAAAATCTGCTTATTACAAGTCTTTCTTTAGGCCTGAAATGTTATCTAAATTATCAATTAGACATTAATTAACTTATCCAGACCATAATAAACTCTCGATGTCAAGGCTAGCCTTCCATGTTGGCTGGGTTAGATTCCTATATGCCGCTAACGGCCGTTGATAATTAAATCAGAAAAAGTGGATAATCGAGACTATGCTGTTTATATTAATGATTTTAGTAATGATGACCGAGACTATGCAAAAATTTCACCCGCTTCTTTCTCGGCTCATAGTGGATCAATTTGACTGAAATTTTCAGCAAATTACCTTTACACTATCTAATTTTTAACTATTATAGCGAGAACTGCCATCTCTTTATCTTATCTCCCATAATGTATCTTTAAGGCATAAAATATGTACATCTAATACATGTTTTGTGGAAGCTGTAATATACGGCGCAGAGGTTTGGGGGATAATTTAGTATATAAAGCAAAAACTTTAAGATAGCGAATTGAGATAAAATAAGTACAAATTAAACTCACTGTTAAAATATGCAAGTCTATTCTTACACAAACGTTAAAAGCATCGAATATAGGCTATAATTCGAATATTAGCAATAACTCCAGTAATTCATTACTGAATTCTGCACACCATGGCAGGAAGATTTTTAAAATAAACTCGCAAACAAACCCAAAACTCCCTTGTATATGCGGCTATCCAAAATATCCTTGAAAAATATGACATTTCTCAAATAACAATTTCTAGACAGAATGTAAGTTGTTCAATAAAAGTAAATGTATCAATCTTCTTGCTGAATCCTGCGGACAGAACAATAAACTTAGAACCTTGGACTATTCAAGAAAACATTCAATGACATTCGAGAATATCTGTAGGTGTTTTCAAAAAAGGGTATATCCATCAGCTTGCTATATAGAAAGGGGTAGATCACTTATAAGATACCACCCCAAGATCGCCTCTGTAAACAAAAGAGTATAAATAAAACTGAATCAGAACAATATTTTGTTATGGGATGCCAAAAGAGAGGAGATTTGCGAAAAGAATATATTATTATATCCAACCCTTAACAATACTGATCAAACCTATTTTTTTAATAACCCTTTCAATCCACTAAGCATCATAGCCCCGAGTGTTGCATCATTTGGTACTTCTCTTTTTTGAAGAGACCTAACTGATTTATATGTCTACATAATAATTATTTTATTACCCGTATCTACTTTATGCGCATATGTTTTTTTTTTTTTTTTTTTTTTTTACTTTATTTCATATATTATGTATCTTGTACGTACATGTATGCTTTGTATTGTCTGACTGTGAATTTTATTACCCGTATCTACTTTTTGCGCATATATTGGGGTTTTTTGGGGGGTTTTTTTTGTTTTATTTTGTTTTACATATGTATCTTGTACGTACATGTATGATTTGTATTGTCTGGCTGTGAATTTGTGCCCGAGTATAATTTTGTACTTTTATTAGTCACCTTTACGTATTGTATGCTGCCCTCAAAGGGCGTTTCGACGCAATACACTTATATTCAATTCTATGTCTGCGCAATATTGTTCGTTGAGTTTTGATTTCTTACCGATATTTGGAATAAAAGAGATATAATAAAATCGTGATGAGATATAATAAAAGAGATATAATACAATCGTGATGAAATATAATAAAATCGTGATGAGATATCGCGTTGAGATATACGATATGAAAGAGATATAATAAAAGTGTGATGAGATATAAATAAAAGAGATATAGAAAATCGAAATGAGATATAATAAACGAGATATAATAAAAGACATATAGGATCGTGATGAATCAGTTGAAAGCCGTGAAATTAAGAAACGTGGTCATCGTGACACCTATGATACCAAACGAGATTTCACCAATCGTTAAAGCTGAACTCCGATTACAAAACTACAATACATCGTGGTTGGTCTATTTCGTCTAATTAGTAAAATAATATGTACCTGACCAGACATAATGTAACAAAGTACTCTATAACTTTCATCAAATTGACTATCATTTAGGTGCTAGAACTGTATGACCTCAGCTGGTTTTTGATAATATATGATATTGATGGTTCAACTCTGTATAAACTTCTGTTAAGGCACGGACTGGCTATGATCTAATTAAACATGTAATTAATCCCATATGGCATTTACTATGGCAGTATATTAGACTCAAAAATTATAACATGCTATCGTCTAATTTTTATAAATCTGATTAAAATACAGATCTATATTTCGTTTCGTTTTTTTATACTTTCGATGGCCTACACTACATGAAGATCTGACAAGTTATAGCGATAGGTCACGTTAGTGGTCAAAAGACCGACTTTTGACCTATGACGTCAGACATTTGATTAACCAATCAGCATTGATGTTACTAGTGGATTACCCACAGTTCCGTGAAAAACAAGCCTAAAGCTCGCCGTAACAGACCGTTTCATTGGCTTATCCCTGACACCATTCAGAACACGAGTTAAATAACAACTCTTCCAGATCCAAGTGTAGTAAAGACAAGTAAAACGAAATTTTGAACTATAAAAACGAAACGAAATAGGATCTGTGTTTTAACCAGATTGAATTTTTTATCTTCTATTCATGTAATTTCTAACTTCTATTCATGTAATTTCTATATTAAGACAATGCATAATCCAACTTCTTTTTTTATTGAGTGTAAATTTTAATTCTGTGTCATCTTATTTCTATCATTAAGACGAAAAATGTCTACTTTCTTGTCGCTTTACATGTTAAGCATGAAAGTCAAACAAATTTAGAATTTTGATACTTCTACTTAGCAACCATCATTAATGACGTCGTTTGGTGTCGCCACCGTGTGATCGGGACCATTATGTTGACACCAACGACCCGCTCTTCGTCAGTTTGAATGGTTTGGCGGAGTGTTGAAATTGAAAACAACATCGAACGTGACATGGTTTGCAAATTGAAATACTATTTCAAATATAAGCTAAACCGCAAATGTTGTTTAGCTTGTATTTGAAATAGTATTTGTCAACCATATCACGTTCGATGTTGTTTTCAATTTCAGCATCGGTTCGGCGGATGTGCGTGACCGGGAGTAGTGTGTAACAAAATGGCCTAGTTTGTGTCGAGTGGTCGTTGACCTCCCCCCCCCCCTCTCTCTCTCTTTTCCTTTCTCTCTCTCAATTTCAGCACGGAGGGCCTGACAAGTACAGCTGTCTAGTCGTAGTGCCGCTGTCCTGGCAAAATTTCCATTATAGCACACTGTATGGCGCATGCCCGTCTTCATTAATCCAGTTCGGAATCGAACAGTAGGACGTTAAACCCCATTTCATTTCCAGACGAAGAGAGAGACTATACGTTGTGCCTTGCCAGACCCTCCGCCCTACACCACTGACAAGGGGGAAGCCCGTCGGAACATCCTGACGAACTTTCTCGGCCAATGCAGGGATCGAACACGGGACCCCCAGGTTAGCGAGGCAACGTCTTACACACTGAACCACTGTGGTTCCGTTATAAAATTATAAATCTGTTAATTCTGTCAATTATTTGGCTATAAACGTTTAGGTTCAATGATAGTTTTTAAAGTTTTTATTCGAATTGTGCAGGGCATGGCCGTTTATTTTGGTCACGATTTCAGAAGGTACATTATGGCGTCGCAAGGCTGAATAAAAGTGATGCCCAGAGTGCGGGAAATTGTGTTTCCGATAGTTAAATTTTGGAAATATTTTCGGAACCCAAGGGGAGACACCCACCCTCTTCAAACGCACATCTCCCGTAACCGTGCTTCGTCAAAAAATCTTAAAATAGGCCCTGCCAGGATGTAGACTGATAATCCAGAGAAAAGTCACAGACCTTGTAAAATGGTATCACAGTGGTTACATGTTCAAAGTTCTAAGCAATGTGTAGATGTTCAAGGTCTAATAAATTGGAGCTGGTGTATCTTGTAAAAACCATATCATACACATTTCCGGCATTGTTATTCCAAGGTTGAGTCATACAAAATAGCGACAGTGAGTGCTTCGAAATATTACAGCATATAACTGTACTAGAACAGTGTGCGGTTTCTAACGTTTAGTTTATTTTAGTTTTTACAAAAACGGGTATATAAACATCCTTCGAAGAAACATTAATTGAATGCATCAAGTCGTACCACTTTTATTAAAGACTGGAACCATTCATGCAATGGGTTTACGAGAATAGTCCAGCGCTACTGTTCGCTAGAGTTTTACGACAATGGTCCAACGGTCATCCCGAATCACCAGAATTGCCAGAATGTTATCACAAGCCTAATCGGAGCTGATTGTTTTCGATCGAGCCTTTTATAATATGTTTTCTACCTGAAGTTGTAAAACTGTTATCGCATAGCAGTAAAGTTTGAAGGTTAGGAAGTGTATGTATAATAGAAACCATTACATCTACCGATACATCCGTCAGATTATTACCTGTTATATCTATATACGTCAGCCGCCTTGTGTTGAAAACGCCTTCTATTATAACTTTTGCACTTGCATCGTCTATACCGTTATAGCATAGTTGCAATTCGGCAAGATTCGGCAAACGGCCCAACAGATTACTAAGACCTAAACTAACCGATTCATTGAATGACGTTTTAAAATTCGGGTGTTTGACGTAAACTTTGGAGACGATACGATTGGTACAGAGATAACTTAATTTAAAGACTGTCAAATGCCGACAGTTGTCCACTCCAGAAAAAATCTGTAACAAAGTCTTTGGGGGGCAGGCACAAAATTCTATACAAAGTTCGTGGAACTCCTCAAAGTTTTCAGTAAGTCTTGCAATTGCCTTTCCCGCGGAATCGAGGCTACACTTCTTAACACGGATCGTATGGAAGATGGCCGGCCAACAGTTTAATACGTACATAGAACGATAATGATAGTTAAAGTTCTCTAATGCAAGTTTCCGTAAAACAAGTTTAGGATTAACGAAAACTTTTGAAATATTGTTTCGCCCATGTTGGCTGATGTTATGAACGGCGTTTAACGGACCACCGATGGTCAAACATTCAATTGACGAATTATTATCAAAAATGCCACATATAAACCGTGCAAACTGGTCTGTATTGTCTATACTAGTTGCTCGAACAACCAAGCCATTGACAGTTTGTAGGCTGTTTATTGCTGATGATAGAGCTTCGGTCACACTTCTTTCAATATTCAGCTTGTCCCAATAAACGCTGACTTCTTGGCATCTCGGTGACGTTACAGAGCAAAGGGAGATAAAGTTTTGTATCGTATCCAATGGACATTGGTTAAAAGATATTTCTAGGATTTCAGGAAACCCAGCGCATACTTTATACGTCAGCATTGCCTCAAATTCGCATTCTTTTAAACAATGTAAAATCTTTGATACATATTTTAGCCCGGCTCTCGTGCTTTCACCACCGTCAGTATTGGATTGTTTAATATACTGGTGAGATTGAACTTTGTTTAACAAACTTTCTATAATCCAACATAACAGAGAATAATTACTGTCTCTGTAGAAACTACGGGCACATAGACTCCATAATGACGAATATCTGGAGGACAGAATTTCTTGATGGAAGTTATCGTCTGACTGTAACGAAGCGCTCATTTGTTTACACACGTGACGCGACGCAAAATAATCCCTAAAACATCTACCCGTGAAGCTGATCGCGTGAGGAACTACGTCATCAAGATTGTGCACTTCGTACAGGAAATGTAAGTCGCAGATGTGCTGATCGTGGAAAATTTCTGGTAAAACATTTTTCGAAATATAATAGGAACCGGTCTGAATTCCTTTAAATGCTAGTTTTTCGAGGATTTCAATAAAGTGTTTGATGTCTTGCGTTGTGCACGTTTTAGTAGACGCACGGCATACCGTAATCAAGTTAGACGTGGAGACGTGGATCAAAGAATCCAGAAGGTCCAGTTTACAAGATGGCGCTGGTATATCCATGCCGTTATCCCATAAATAAAGTTCAAGATAACTACCCAATAAAGAACACGATAAAGGGTTACGGAAGAGTTCCATCGACGGATCGAATCTAAGGATAGGTGTAATAATATGGTCGATTTCTCCATATTGTTTTTCCAAATGTTTTGTAAAAACTCTATGACTGTATCCAATACTTAGACCGTAACTGTAGAACAAACAATCCACGTTAGTCTTATGTAGTAGCCCTGGTTTCGTAAATATTAATAATCTCGAGAAAGTGAGCTGATTGTCCCCGATTAAATCACAAATATATTCAAAAAGCTGTGACGTAATGCACATATTATCCACAATAAGCGCCATCTTGTGAGCATTAGCAAGAATCCATGATTGAATTTCTGTTTTACTGATATTTATTGCAGGTAAAATAGAGTTTATTTGTGTTAAAACACTTTGAGTAATCAAGGAAATGAATTCTTTACATGATGTGATTTCTGATTCGGCATCCACCGTGTCAAAATTTTGGGTACCGCTGATATACAAACAGTGCTCAGGCATATTAGGGTGTTTCCGCCACAAGTCGTACCATCCGTGAATCAGACGAAAACATATCATTGTTTTTCCGCTTCCATCGTCCCCTTCAACAAGCAACTTTCGACAAGAGACTGGTACCTTCCAGGTTAAATCATCTGTAGACGCGTCGTCCAGTCTGAAATAAGATATTAATTTTATATCAATAACTTTATTTGAAATGGGTTGATTTTGTCTTTTGACATAAAATAACAACTCGGCCAAACATCCAGTAGTTGAACAAGCTGTCGAAGCTAGGTGGGGTAAGGTCAATGAAAAAGATTGCATGGGGTCGGATGGCTGTTTAGCTGGGCTGGACGAGACGTGTCAAACAAGGACCGATTGATATTGTTGATATGTTTTTCTCTTTGTGTCGGTTAACCTATCTTTAATATAAATAATAAAATGAGATTTGGAAATACTAGGTTGAGCGAAACGAGGCGCAAAAAATCAACGACAAGGGCCCATTTGACGGGTATCATGGGGCCATCTTCACAATGTTATTATTATTCTGTGGAAATTTATTTTTATAGATCAAAAACAAATTCTCAATTATTTTTTTCAATAATCTAAAGACTGAATTGGTAAGTAAACATTACAAAAATAGCGACACAATAATTAAATGGCAAAATCTGGATTGCTCGGTGTTGTTCTGTTTTTTATTCTTTCTCCGATTCATTGCCCCACATTGAGTGGAATGGGTATTGTTAATATTTCTATACATGAATCACCCATTCCAAAAAAAGGGCGTGTCGCTGTTGCATTGTGGGAGATCGGTGAGCAAAGTCACTCGTAGGCCGCCATTACTTTGCATTGTAATTCTCTGACCAAATTTCGAAAAACGCCGATCTTACGTTAATTTTAGTGATGGGGGATATTTCATATGATGTGATAGAGACACAGATGGTTGATTGCACGTAAAGAATACCTCAGAAAGCACATTCTGAAGTATAGAGATCGCAAAAAGGTAAAATTAAAACTTCAAAACAAACAGCTGTCAGAACTATCACATCATATGAAATATCCCCCATCACTAAAATTAACGTAAAATCGGCGTTTTTCGAAATTTGGTCAGAGAAATTCAATGCAAAGTAATGGCGGCCTACGAGTGACTTTGCTCACCGATCTCCCACAATGCAACAGCGACATGCCCTTTTTTTGGAATGGGTGATTCATGTATACTATAATATACTAACCTGACTAACGGAGTATAAGCAGGTTCCGAAGAACTGTGTAAATCAGGTCGTACTAAAAATCTTGGCACCCTTCTTAAACAGTAAAACGGTTCTCTTATGGATAAGGATCTCTCTAAATCACATGATTTATCCTTAAGCTGTAAACTATGTAGACGATATATTTCCCGAATAGTCGCCGTTATCCGATCATCAATCACATTCTTCTCTGTAAGCAGAACATGGCTTCAATCAAATCAAAAGCAATGTATGTCAAATATCAAATCGTTGTTCGTGCAGTAGAATACAATCAAATTAGTGGTTTACGTGCATTTACGGCACTAAAAGAATCAATGATACCTTAAAAGTCCAATTCCCGAGTAAAGTCACCTTTATTGTTCAACAATGTCAAATTGTTCAATGACCTCTGCGTCATAGCGTAAAGCAAGAGTTGATTTAATATGTTGCAAATGATATAATACCATATAAATACAAATGCAAGAACAATATTCAAATCAAAATGTAACATTAAAAAAATAAATTTAGATGAATATATTTTAGTTAAATTTGTTCAGAAGTTAATATAATTTCTAAGGGACACGTAACTACCTCCAGAGAACCCACAAACTTTTTTACACAAATTTGCGTAAGACGCGGGGGTCATAATCCAGGTCATAATCCGGGTCGATGCGCACCAAATCCAAACTCACATGAGATCATTCGATCCTTAACATATATTTTATGTTCCACAAACATTGTACATAATTACAAGAAGTTGCACGGTCTAACACGCACCAACATCGAACTCATCCAAGTTTCATCAATTGTGGTCTCTAGAGGTTCCACACCATTTGTATATGCATTACATTTTGTGTCACTATTGGCGTAAAGGGGTGGGGCAAAATCTGATAAAAATTGTGAACTCTAGAGGCAATCTGTTTCACAGAGAATTACGAGTCTACTAATATCTCTTTCAAAGATGACTGCCTTAACACGTGCCGTCACAGCACGCGGCGTCAATCATTGGCTGAATGGCGCGTGCATTGTTTACATAAGACGTTACTGCTTCGGGCAGAATGCTGCCTTTTAGTCATTTCAATACCCATTTACACTAAATAGGAAATAATTTTTACCTACAAATACGTCAAACGCCTTTATTTATTTTTCCAATACATAAAAAAGAATGTTTTAGAATTTAATTTGTCGCAGGAAAAAAAGTTAATATTTCTGGCTCATTAAGTCGCATCGATGTCATCCTTATCAGTGATTGTAGTGGCCTAGCGAAAATTCACTTCTGATCAGTGTGCTCTAGAGGGTCCACATAAAATGTGAACGGACTGACGGACAGGGGCGAAGATATTATATACGCAGCTATAAAACTTCCACCGAATCAATAATTGACCAAAGCAATAACTGAAGTGACCAAATTAATAAAAAGTTTCGTGAAAATAATAATACATGAATAAACAGAAATTGTAAAAATTAGAATGTTTATAAACTGACGGGCCCCAAAAATACGACCACATTTCAATGTGGAGTGTACACTATCTACTTTAACTTTTAGTTTATGGTTTAACTGGAATGTAAGTATGCCAGACTAAAACAGGAATGTCTGATGGTTATCTATAAGGTATATGTTAAACAAGATAATTAATGTCAGAATGATTCCTTATATACATTAAAAGAGGCAATATGTCAGAATGAACCTCAAATACATATAGCTTTCAGAAATATAACGAAGTACGATGCCAATAATCTCAGTGGCTCCGTGAGGAAGACACTGGTTCACTATCACAATGAAAAAAAGCACTCTCTCTCACCAACCAGGGTGTCCGGGCTCGATTCTGGTATTGGCCTAGAAAGTTCTTGGCGATTTTTTCCAGTGAGGTTTACACTTGTGGTACAGAATGGGAGACCACCGTCTAGTCGTTCGGATGGAACGAAAAAAAACCTAAGTAGTTCGAATTTGACGAAATATATTCTTAGCACATTTTATGGAGTGTGTATCGTCTGGTTGGAGCAGAAAAATAAGACGTTAAAGGACAATATTGGTGTAAGGCATTATCACATATGTGATAGAACTGGTTTAACACGTTCCAAATATAATTTTAACACAGAGATCATTGCTACGATAGATGTGTAGTGAATTTTTCTACAAAAGGAAGTGACAAACATAAAAGGAAAACACGAGTTATCCTTCTATATACTGACTGAAGTGACGAGTGATAACAGATACACTCTGTTATCACTCGTCACTTCAGTCAGTATATAGAAGGATAACTCGTGTTTTCCTTTTATGTTTGTCACTTCCTTTTGTAGAAAAATTCACTACACATCTATCGTAGCAATGATCTCTGTGTTAAAATTATATCTGGGACGAGTTCTATCACATATGCGATAATGACTGACACCAATATTGTCCTTTAAACCCCATTTGATTTCCAATAATCCCGATTGACTTTCAAACTTGCACCGGAGCCCGATACGTCATCAGCCGTTATTTTGACACATCTGCATCGCGATTTGATTAAACCTGTCCCTCGTCTCAAATACTATGAAATACTATTAATAATCTCGATAACCAAGATAAATGAGTGTATTCAACTGAAACATTGCATGTAATAAACTAAGACGTAGTAAATCTATAAAGTTGTGTTTTTTTTAAATGCCTCTACTTCTAGAATATAACCTATTTTATGTTTCAGCGTCTACACAGTCTACGACAACAATTAAAGTTAGTTAACCAGCCAACTTGCGCTAAACTTAATCTTTCAAAATAACAATGCCATCACATACATGGATTTTGACAACGACTAATCAGATCAACCAAAGTCAACACATTGGCACATTTAATTTAAAATTAAAATACGGAATGTTATTTATCTAGATTATTCATCCAAATGTGACAATTGCCTTTCTTGAAAAGATCTAAAAAAAAAATTGAGGAATCGAAGAATAACAATACATACAATTAACCTAGATAGAAACCAGGTTTGTTAAAAAAATAATTTGGTGATAGCCCCGTCAAAGGTGCACACAGGACACAGTTCTATGGAATAAAATTACTGATTATTAATTATGAGCGATGTTTTGACTAGGATTTATTTTCGAGACTTTTTGTAGCAGATGCCATTGAAATACCCAATCAAATCTGCTTAAACATGGAGTTTTTTGGTTGAGAAATATAAATTACCCTTACCTGCCATCACTATCAAGTGCTTAGTCTGACCAACTTCCCTCCCGCTCTCTCTCTCTCTTTCTGTTGGATTCCAAAATAACTATTTTTGACAATCAGCCAAAATTCTGCATTCCTACGCTATCACTACCCCTCGATGTTTTCATTGATAGGTCTTCAGTGCACTCACTTACGTCACTGAGACGGCTATATTCGTTTTCTCGCATTAAAACTTATAAAAGAAAAAACGGGAGGAATGGTTTTCAATTTCACCGAAATACTTTTATTCTACGTCAGAAGCGTTTGAAAGGCGCCTGATGTAATATAACTTCTCTTTTCTCTTAAAGGGGTGTATAATGGTGTCCATTTCCATCTTTATTTATATATAACCTGGTTGCATTAAATTTCTACGGAATTATCAGAGGAGGTGGACCATGATTTAGTCTTGACTCTCTCGATTATCGGCGGTGTCCATTTTATCCACACGTTATAAATAAAATTAATTAAATAAATTTTATAATTAAAATAATTTTAAATGAGTTTTAATGATCGCTTAGAGGTGCCCTGCCTCTAGTGCAAAAATTCTGCGCCTGTATCCATGACTTATTTCTCCGAAAAACAATAAATCTACATTACATAGTTTGGGGATATACGGACGGTAAAAAAAAAATGAAAACAACATTAGTTGGCTACCTATCTTATCTTAGACAGGTTAATCGTTTTACCATAATAATGTTATTGAAACCAATAACAATATGTCTGTCAGAAATAGCACTGACATTACTGCGTATTTTTCAAAATACACTGGAAATACACTTCGCTCATTTGGAGATTAACATACGGTAATTTGTGTGGGAGGAAGATTTTGCCGCGCATGTATATTTCATTTTGAGCGTATAAAAACTGTCATTTATAATCGAAACTAACAATGAATTGTCTTTCTGATAATAGACAATCTGTACAAGTGGTCTAACAGGGGTTTGTGCTTCGTCCTGCTCTCTTTTAAATTTATATATTAACGACCTTCCGGACTATTTCAAATGTTCAACAAGTCTATATAAGCCTCTCCGATCCCAACTTTAGATAGTACATGTACTATGTACATGTATACTATATTGTATGGAAGCCTATAACTGCCATTCGTAATTTCTACTTTTCGCCTCTTCAGAACGCGAAAGTCGAAAAGTAGAAAGGTGGAAGTTTAAGGCATGTGATTGTTGGCGAGATTGTACGTTAGGTTTAAGAATTTGGGGGAGAGGTTAAGTCTGCACATAAGCATTGACCTAGGATGATGAAAATTTAGTTCGTGATATTGCCTAGTTTTATAAAAATAGATACAATACATATTTATATACAAAGGTGATTTCACTGTTTTTTGGTGTTGGTGGCGCTGATGATCTTCCTTTGATTGTGCATGTGATATTCTGGTATTTTTGTTTCTGAAGAAAACAGAATAAATTTGAGGCTCATTAGTGTGTTTCTTACTAAGAATTGGATTTTCTAAAAATGTGTTTGTTCCAGTATCACCGGGTTAGGGTTAGGGATTTTTATATCTAGTTGATTTATTTACTAACGGTTAGGGTTAGGGGGGGGGGGGGCTGTTGTTTTCAATTTGTCGATCCAGAATTTTTATCTCTAGATAGCCTAACCGTTTTAATTTCTTCTGGAGTTTCAAAGTCGCCCTTAGTCTTTTCTATTGGGGTGACAGTGAGATCAGAAATGTCATGATTTGGTTGGTTGAAGTGAATTGAGACCGGTTTGTCTTTTTTGGCTACTATGTCTGACCGACGACCGTTAATTCTTTCCCTAAATGCATTTTGGGTCTCCCCTACATATTGTTTGTCACATTGTCTACATGAAATAAGATGAATTATGTTTAACTGCTGCATGAAAGTTGGTCTAATATTGGGAATTGCGTGCCAGATATTTTGTTATGGAACTGGTCGGATATGTTTATGATTTTGACATCTGGGATGGCCACAAGTTGCATATTGTTTGTTTCTTTGGCGGCAAGTTCAACTAGAGTGTTGTTTTTTATACGTCGGAGATATAGCGTTTGGAATACCCCCTTTCTCTTAGTTTTCTAAATACTAGCGTATGTTATGGGTGAAAGAAGCTATTTAACAGTAATTGATGTGTATCGGTTTCTTTGAAAAATACTTTAGTTTCCAATTGGCCAGTGTTATTGGTGATCCTAAAAACGGTGGTGTCAAGAAAATCTATGCCGTTGTGACTTACATTTGCGGTAAATTTGACAGATGGGTGATGATTGTTCAGAATGTTGAAAAACGCCCAAAATTCGTCTAGTGTATACGTCCAGACTATGAAAACGTCATCTAAAAACGTCCATAGAAATCTGGTTTTAATGGGCATAATGAATGGGCAGAGTGGCAGGACTTCCCTCTCCCACTCCGCCATGAAGAGATTTGCATAACTCGGGGCAAATCATTTTCCCATCGCAGTTCCTGAAGACTGGAGGTATACTTGGTCGTTGAATGTGAAGTCATTCCTCCTCAGACAAATGTCGAGTAATTTAAGGATTTCTTCGTCTGGCCAGTATGCTTGTGGGTTCCTAAGAAATGCTTTCCTAACTGCTTCAATACCTGTGTTATTAACAATGTTCGTGTACATGTATTAAAATGGTGTGCTCAGTAACTCTTAACTGTTTGATTTTGTGAATAAAGTCGTTGGTGTCTTTAAGGTAGGTATCGTGTTGACATGCTAGGGGTAATAAGAAATGGTCTATATATTGTGATACGTTGTATGATTCGCTGCCACAGTCTGATATTATTGGGCGTCCCTTGGGTAATTCATTACGTATAAAACCAGGGGCGGATCCAGGAATTTTTGCAGGAGGGGGTTTGCCAGGTCCCTGAGACAATGTATCCCCCCCTCCCGCATGGTCTCTATCGTTATTTTGGCGTATATACATACACATTGAGCTTTTTAAACAGAGACATTCAACATCTCGTTTGACGTCATTTTTTATTATGAATTAATACAATGACATTGTGATTCAATTTCATGGATGCAAAGCATCTCGTGCTTTGAGTGCCCATCCTGTCCCACATCTGACGATAAGGGATAAAGCACACGGCCGAGAAACTTTTCTAATAAAAAGATTTGATTTACAAAAAAATTTGGATCCGCCCCTGAAACCATTCTGTTTCTAGATTTTTATGTATTTTTGGTAGCGTATAGGGATGTCGTTGTCGGCAGTCAGATTGTGACCTGGAATGTACAACTTCCGAGGCTAAACTCGAAAAGTCGAAGGCACACGACAGCATTCCAAAATAATAGGTCGCTAATAGCGCGGTGTGTTAATATCCTAATTTCTACTTTTCGAGTTTGGCTTGGTATGCGCGTTAGCGCCTTCTTACTGACATCAATATATATACAAAAATAAGACTAAGTCGAAAGTCGACAACACGCTATATACAAACCACAATCAAAGTCGAAAATTAGAAATTAGGAAAAACACGAGGGCGCTATTATCGCATAATCCCACTAAACACTGCTTTAATGGAAGCAAATTTCTGTTTCAAATTATGACTAGTCAATAGACCGATTAACAACCAATAGCTAACTACGTAACAATATGATTACGCCTTAAACAAAGCTCCAAATTGGACCAAATATATTTACATAACTTTACGATTTTATTCTGTCCAATTAGGGGGTCACGGTGGCTAAGTGGGTAAGACGCTGGCTCGCTATTGCCTGGAGGTCGGGTGTTCGATCCCTGCATTGGCCGAGAAAGTTCATCCTTGTCAGTGATGCAGGACGGAGGACCTGACAAGGACAACTGTCTAGTCGTTCGGATGGGACGAAAAATAGAAATTACGAATAGTAGTTAATAGGCTTCCATGGCATTTTAATGCTATCAAAAAAGGCAAATGATCTCGAAAATGGTATTAATTGTCGTTCTCCTGCGATTCAAAGTTATCAACGCCTTAAAATCAAAAGTCATAATTTTAAACCATAATAAATGAACAGCACAGAAATCAAAATGTACATCAAAACAGCTCACAATTTAAATTAAGTAGCCTAAACTGGTTTCAACAATTTGTCCCTCTACTGATAGTGGGAAGTGTTCACCAGTGACACTAATTAGAGTAGGAAGTTTAAACCAGTGACACTAATTAATTAGAAGAGACTCCTACACCCACAGTTCACACTCGGCAAACTTCGGCAGATTCCGTTACTCTAGGGCCATCATTCTAGAGGGTACTGGAATCTGCTGAGGTTTGCCGAGTGCCACAGTCCAGTAACCTCCTAATCCCTTATCAAAACAATCAGATGTGGGGATAGTGAGGTTAAGCCGTCCCTTTGTTTACATAGCGTTCATCCAGGCACTTCGGTCATTCTTTCCCGGTTGAAACACGGCGGCCAGTCTCCAGTGACGGCCCACGACCTCATCCAGAAAAATATTCTACGAATATTACAATCTGTTTCAGAGAGGATTACGAAAGTCTTCTATATCTCTGTAAAAGGTGACTGCATTCAACACGTGGCGTCACAGCACGCGGCGTTAATCATTGGCTCAATGGCGCGTGCATTGTTTACATAAGACTAATTAGGAAATATTTTTTACCTACAAATACGTCAAACGTCTTTATTTATTTTTCTAATACATAAAAAAATGTTTTAGAATTTAATTTGTCGGAGGAAAAAAGTTAATATTTAAGACGCATTAAGTCGCATTGATGTCATCCTTATCAGTGATTGTAGCGGCCTAGCGAATATTCAGTGTGCGAATATTAGTCTGGATGGGCTGTCAACATTTGAGAATAATAGGTCATTGGCTAGATTATCCAGTCTTTTATATTATCATGAACAAAGTCTAAGGGAGGTAACTAGTCCTAAAACAAGATGTCAACGCCCATGAAATTAATCTAAGAATTGCCATTTCAGAAAATCCATCTGCATCACCAGTTCAATATTCAACACTCTTAAAAAAAAATATTGTAATATTTCTCTCTTCATGGGCCATATCTATATTTTTTAATAAATACTAATTCGTCGTCACGTTTGATGTTTGTTTATAAATAATGCATGAATTATGTGATTTATTTCGGGAAGGGGCGCAACTCTTACTTGACTTTGCCAAATAATACTGGATAATCAACCACATAAAAGAACACAATCTGTTTCACAGAGA